GTGACCTGGTCATAGAAGGCCACCAGGTTGGTCTGACAGGACCTGCCTCTGATGAACCCGTGTTGGTTGCCCCAAGCATAAGCTCCCCCACTGGCCCCTCGTGGACATGTGCCAGGATAATTCTCTCAAAAAACTTACCCAGGATCAAGGTAAGACTAACTGGCCTATAGTTTCCTGGGTCCTCCTTCCTCCCTTTTTTGAAGATGGGAACCACGTTGGCCATCTTCCAGTCCTCTGGCACCACACCAGAGCACCACGAGTGCTCGTAAAGCCATGCCAGGGGTCCCGCAATGACCTCAGCTAATTCCCCCAGCACTCTGGGGTGGAGATCATCCGGACCAGCTGATTTAAATACCAGAAGTTCCCTGACTAGATCCTCACTGACCTTGGCCTAGGTGCGCCTCCCCTGGGGCCTGAGGAGGGCCCAGTGGGGAGGCTGATCCGGTCCCTGCTGAGGAAGATGGAGGCAAAGAAGTTGTTAAATAGGTTAGCTTTGTCGACTGGTGTGATGACCAGATTTCCTAGCAGGTCTTGTAGGGGCCTCACATTACCCGGTACCTTCTTTTTTCCCCCTGTGTATTTAAAGAAGGACTTCTTGTTGTCCTTGATCGGGGAAGCTAGTCCCAGTTCCATCTCTGCCTTGGCCTTCCTGACCGCCCCCCTGCAGCCCCGAGCTTCCACAGTATAGTCCTCCGTGGTGATGGCCCCTCCCTTCCATTGGGTGTACATTCCCAGATGCTTTTGGTGAGACATGGGGGCTTTTGCGCCGTCCTGCCCCTTTTGATCTGTGTTGGGATTACCTCCCTTTGGGCTTGGAGGATCATCTCCTTAAGGAGTGACCACTGTTCTTGGACACCCGACTCCCCTCCCCTTCAGGACCTCAGTGACTCCCCGAATATTCTCCTTAGCTCATTGAAGTCCGCCCTCCTAAAATTTAGGGCAGCTGCCTTGCTGCAGGCTTTTGCCACCTTGCGCTGAATGGTGAATTCCAGCAGGCGATGATCGCTGTCGCCCAAGTGGTTGAGCACCCACAGCCCCTTCACCAGGTCGTTGCCCATGGCCAGCACCAGGTCCAACAGGGCATCTCCCCTGGTGGGGCTGTGCACCTCCTGAGTTAGAGGGAGGTCCTGCATTTTGGCTAGGAACCTACGTGAGCAGTCAGACCTGGCTGACTGCTCTTCCCAGCAGATGTCTAGAAAGTTCAGGTCACTCATGTTGACT